GGGCACATGCCTTGGGAGGATCGGAGAAGGTTTCCAGAATCTTCCAAAGCTGAGACCCAAAGGATGAAGAATTAGTCAGGGAAGGTGTGATCATGATGTGCCAGGCAAGCTGCTGAGAAGGAAGCAGCTAAGCCAAAGAGAAAACCCCTGCCTTTGTTCTCCATTCAACGTTAAATCTTATTTTAAACAGAAACTATTTACCTTCTTTGCTAAGACTTTGCTGCTGTTGATGTTTGAGTATCTTGTCTATTTAATTGGAGATCAAAGCTTTCTAATTTTCTTCTTCAGCTTTTCCTTCAGCTTTGACAGCTAACTTCAAAGCTTAATAGATCTGAAAGTTTGTTCATATCCCATAGACTATAACTTTCTTGAGCCTGCAGCCTATCTTTTTTTCCCCGCAGTACCTACCACAGTGCCTTCATAAATATTTGTTAAATAGATAAACAAAGTGAGAGAATTATTTAGCCTCAAAATGTAGAAGAGCCACATCTAAAAGTTCCCGTTGCCTTATCCTTGTTATTTGAAATACCCGGGCTTACTCTCATCATGCTTATAATCATATTTGTAATGGGCATTTATTTGTTATGAACCCTCCCTCGGTCATGCCTCAAATGAAACATATACATTATGTATAAAAGATATGTCATATATATGTTAATGTATACTTTTTCAGTGTAGTAAGAACTAGGAAAAAATGTTTAGGAATGAAAAGGCTGACAATTCTTATGAAACATTCAGAAGGTGCCTTCTGAATGGCTAAGGCTGCCTATCCAGGTGAAAACAGTCTGTAATCTGAGCACGGATTACAATGCTGCTTACATATCCACATCTTCTAGGAGAGATTCTGATTTCATTGTTGTGAGAGGGGTCTGAGCATCAGCATTTTTTTCTTAAAGCTCTCAGGTAATTCTAATGTGTTGCCATTATCAAGAGCCATGGGGCCAGAGCAAGCAATATCACCTTTTAATTTTTTAAGTACAGCTTCCATTTTATTTTTCTCCAGAGGACAGTTTTTCTGCAGCCCTTAGGGACTCAGCTCCTTACATGGGCTTTGGTGGAGGCTGTAGGGCAGCACCTGCACGTGTAAATCGAGATGGGCGTGTTTGGTCCTTACAGGCTTCATGAGATGGATTCCTGACTACCTTGCTGTGAATGGCACAACTCACACAGTAATGTAGCTTCACATAATACAGCTTGGGAATAGGCGGTGAAGACGCTCGCTTCAAAATGTCCCTGACAATGGTGGTCTCTACTACGTTTTGAATGAGAAACTTCTAAAAGGGCATGAATTGGACCCAGTTTGTGCAGTGAAGAGGCTGCATGTGGCCCAGCCCATTTTGGCACAACTCTTGCTCCTTCTTCTTGTTTTCATCTTGGAAGCTCGATATCACTTTTTACCAGGGAGCGGGTAAAATGAACAAAGATTGCTCAGAGGAGCAAGAAAATTCTCAGTCAGTAAAGTCAAGCCAACCCAGAGAAAGATGATGATTTTCCCTATAACACTCTATTGTCTATTAGCTCCTGGCCCCAACCATCTCCAAGCTCTACTAGAAGACCCCGAACACTTGGCGTATAAAGTAGAGGCACGAAACAACCATGGACACACTATCACCTCGCAGAGCTTCACCCACAACCTCCCAACCACAGGGAGCAACATGATGTGGTTTCCCTTATACAGCTGCAAGCAAGGGCCTTCTTATGCAGTGGTCAAGAAAAGAAAAAAGCTATACTATTTTCAGCAGCAGCAGCAGTAAGGAAGGGATGATCTCCCTCTATTCCAGACAGGAAGAGAAAGTTAGCTGGTTCCCAGGGGAGAGCTAGGGGTTGGGGGCGGCAGCCACTGTGTTGGAGGGGAAGTGAAAGAGGCTCTGGCCAAGTCTGCCGGGAGCCACTTCATGCCATTCTTGAGTGTTCTTACCAGGCTGAGCGTGTACATTCCTAGTGCTCCCTTCTTACCAGGCTAGAGAAACGTGGTCAAAGAAGGGGGAAAATTGGCCCTGCATATCAGGCCCCACTGTGTAACTAGCAAGGGGTGATCAGAGCAGGGTCTGAAACTGGCGTCTATGAAGATACCTGCAAAAACTGTATACACGGGTGTGTGTGTGTGTGTGTGTGTGATTCTAAGGAAGCGGTTTCTGTTTTTCATCAGCTTCCCAAAGATTAAAGTTGACAACTGGCCCTGAGCAATGTCTGCCCTAAGCTGAACACCTATTTGTAAACCACACACCCGGCCTTATCAGATTTGTCCAACTCAAAGTAGCAGGGCTGAGCCTCAGCAAATTACAGAAGCATACGACATCATTCTCTGTCTTCAGCCCTTGTCTGCCCAGAGTTCCCACTCAGGCATGTAGCTTCCCTATGTTTAGATGGCCTGAGCTTAGCTCATCGTCATCCACTTTCTCCTCCACTCCAGCTCAGGGCTTTCCTTCCCTGTCCAAGGACAGAGGCTCTCTGCCTCCCTACATCTCTGGTCTTCCCTGCTCCCCTGGTACTCCCAGATCTGAATCTATTTTTCCTGTCTCAATGCAGGTCCACTTCACCACCCTTGACCTTTGAAATTCAGTAACCATGAGGTCAGTCCAGGGAGACTTTCTCCAGCCCCCTGACTCCCAGTTACCACAGTGACTTGTCACCCTCAGCATTCTGGGCTGATCTTCCAAGGTGGTGGGCAATGGGCCAGTGCCCAGCTCAGCTTTTCCTCCCAGAAGCAGAGTCCAGGCCTTGTCTATGAACCAATACATGTTTCAGAAAGTCCACAAAGAAGCAACATTATTTTAGAGAAAACTATTAGCACTGACTTTGTTTATTGATGCTACACTATAGCAAACACAGGAAAAAAAAAAAAAAACTATCCAACTAGTTTTAGCTGTGGGGAAAAAATAAATTCTAATTACTCTTATTTACATAAGCAGCTTATTATGCATGTGTAATTTCTGTGTAGCACAATAACGGTGTGTGGATCATTAAGTGGGTCAGTTGCCTTTCCTTTCAAAACTGAACTCTCATCTCAAACTTGGAAGTTTGCTGATCCTGTAGCAGGGCTGTCTGCTTTCAATTTAGGGGGAAAATATCATTAGAAGAGAATGTTGGCTTAGACATAGAAGCCAGTGAGGGCAGAGGAACCTAACAGGCCAGTGAGGGCCCTCTGATCCCTCATGATCAACTGTATGACCTTAGGCAGGCCAATTTACCCCTCTGGGCTTCCTTTCCTCCTCCCCAGGGTGGGGAGCACTGGATACTGGTTTGCCATTCTTTTAAGCAGTAGTCTCTTTTCTTTCTTTCTTTTTTTGGTCAAAATGAAACATATTCAGAAGCCCAAAATATAAAGCAGGTGAAAGAACAGCTGCCTAAGGCTGCCTTTGAGGCATCTTCACAGAACCCTGGGGTTCTGGCTCATTCTATTATCTATTAGTTTGTAAGAATGAACAGGGCTGGCAAGCGCCCCATGCAACTCTCATAGCTTTGAGGGAGGAGCCAGAATAACACCCACGTGGTGAAAGGTGGCATCCCAGGAGCATTCCTAGTGTACCTGGAGGTTAACTTGAAGGCCCCTACAATAACAGGTGAAGGAAAACATTTCATTGTAAACTTCTGACAATGGTGATTAAGAGGCATAGAGTTCTCTCACATCCAAAAAAACTCAAACCAAGTGATTTTTATCTCAAATCTACCTCTCCAGATGGTTGCTGAGGATTCAATGAATCATTCAGTTATGTATCTATTTCAAAAGAGTCAGTTTTGAAATGGTTCTCCAAGCTCTAAAATACTAAGCCATTTGTCCTAATGACACAGCAGACTGAACTCTAGAATACCACAGGAATATCACACCACTGCAAATTACTAGGTGGTGCTGAGTCTCCCAAAAAAATGGAAGTGAAACAAAAGCATTGCACTGTTTTTGAAATGCATATTTGATATGGACTAATCAAATAGTTTTTGAGATTACTTTCCTGGGGGCAGAATAATTCTGCACAGTTACACAGCCCTTATGTTTTCCCCTTTGTTATATCTATCTATGTATAAACACATGGCCCATATAGCAGGCTACTTTCCCTCTCACTGAAGCTTCTAAAGACAAGGCCTTTTTGTCATGGGTAAGTGCAAAACCAGTCAACCTTACAAAAGGAGTCATTTAATGCTCAATTTTCCAACTTTCCTATGATTAAACACTTCTAAGCTCAAACGCTGTTATTGAAATCTAGATAGTGTTTTCTTTCCCCTTTCCCCAACAAATGTTTAAATTGTCTCCAATGGATTCCCCCTCCCCACATTTTTTCCCCCAATCTGACCTTGAAAACAGAGTTTTCCTTTTCTCTACTTACCCTAAACTATTTAAAAATCAAGGCCCTCTGACCTTTTTACAACACTCTTCTTGTCTAACACACCAAATGTTAATCTGAAAGCCAAGAGGAGGGAAAAGGTCTTGGGGGGGTTGTGGAATGGGGGTGGAGGTACTATATATTTGGCATCAGGTCAGAAATTCAGAAATGTTTGTGCAACCACTCCTTCAGCCAGGATCCTTCCCCACCCCCCACCCCCAACTGCCTTCTAACGCAATAATAAAAAAAGATATGAGCAGCTGAAATTGGAGAGCCCAGGGGGGACAGCAAAGGCGGTCATGATTCTGTATCTAGGAAAGCCCACTGATCACCATCGCACATGTCCACCTTTCTTCCCTCCCTTCCAACACACAGAGTTTAGGATTTGGACCTCTGCAGCTTCCACCCCCATCCCCAGAGGTGGCCGGGTAAACTTGAGGCAGTACCACCCATTAACGGCTTATGTGAAACAACGGAAGGATTGACACAGCTGCCTCTGCGCGTCGGGACGGCAGCCCTGTGCACCTTAAGAATAGTTTATGTTCTTAAAAAAAAAAAAAGTGCCATGAGCGCACAGGCCTGGAATACATTAACTTGTGAACCGATTCTAACACAAACCAAGACAGTCCATCTCTCCCTCAAACAAAAAGAAGGGGGGAAAGGCCAAGCAAGGCACATTACCATCCTGTCCCGAGCTTTCCAGATACTCCGTCAGGTCACAGCCAAACGCGCTGGCGGCTCCCTTTCGTTTCAGCTTCTGCTTGGCACCCTTGTTCTTCATGAGTTAGTCCCAAAGAGGCTGCCCCTCCGTCTCCGCCGCCCCTCTGCTTGGCACCGCTGTAAGACTGGCTCCCGGGCTAGATCACCGGCTGCCCCGCGGCTCTGGGGGGCCGCATCGGAGGACTGGACGGAAGGAGCCGGGCGGGGGACCCTGCGCATGGACCCCGCGGGGCGCGGGCCGGCAGAGCCTGAGATCCACCCCGCGCCGCTCCGGGGCCGCCGTGCCGAGGCCGTGCAGACTGGCAGCCGCGGGCCGGCTAGCCTGGGAGTGTCACTTCCTCACTGGGAGTCCCAGGGACTTTCACAGGCTCCCGCGGTGTCTCCGGGCGTTTCTCCTGCGCCTCGGAGGGAGGGCGCGCTCTCTCCCCGCCTTCCCGAGAGCCCTGGAGAGGACGCGGGGCGAGGAGACGGCCCGGGGTCTGCGGCGGGTCCTGCGCCCTGGGCCCGCGGTCTCGCCTTCAGACGGCTTTGGTAGAGCGAAAAACAAGCATCCTGTCCCTCCTGCCCGCCCTCACGCCTTCCTTTTTTTCCTGTCTTACAAATCCTAGGATCATCCAGCTCAGGAAACGCTGGAAGGAAGTTAGCTAGGGAGGGGGGCGGAGGGTGGAAATTTTTGGCAGCTCGGCGCTTGTGAGTGTGTGGAGCCGGAGGAAGTAGGTGGGTGGGTTGAGGAGCACGGGGTGGGGGAGAGAACGCGTTCTCCCGAGAGCCGTTCAGCGGCTCCAGAGATAACTGCGCAGCCCGGGAGGAAATCGCGCGCTCCTCGCAGGACCCGCAGCCGCAGCCGCCGCTTCCTGTCCCGCCGAGCCGGCCCTTTGAAGCGGCGGGAGGAGGTGCGCTGGCGTTCTGCGGGGACCGTGCTGGATGGGACTTTCGGAACGCTCTGCCCTGGTTTTATCCTCGTTGTCATCGTATCTTTGACACTTTCTATTTCGGTGCCCGCCCGTCGACGGGACGGCGGCGGAGAAACCTGACAGGCACTGTGGCTGAATTCACGCCGGCCACTCCCATCCCTCCCTCCTCCGCCGCGTCCCTGCACCCCCACCTCGGCTCACTCCCCTCCCACACTGGGGTAAAGATACCCCTGGGCAAAGAGAGGCTGCAGCTTTGTAACCGCTGCCCAGGAAGTCAGATTTCTGGTGCTAAATGGAAGTGATGGGGGGAGGGTGGGCGACAAACCAGGATTTAAGGTGCCTCTGACACCTTAAATGTGAAGAAAGCAGCCTCCCAGGTTGTTTCATAATTTGCTTCAAGTTGTTTCAGGAGGGCATGTTTTTCCTTCTCCAGTTAGATTAAATTCCTTGACTTCTGTGTACTCAGCACACAGTAAGCACTCAAATTCTTGTGATTTAACCATTTGAGGATTAGATGAAACTTACTGTATAAATTCAAATCCATATACAGGCTTGAAGGGTAGGGGCATTCAGGGCTCAGATTGCTGGCAAAGCTGCATCTGTAGCATTTTAGGTACTGAATCCCTTTGCAGTCACTGTCTCTCTATGTATCACCTTAACAGTTTGTGAACTTTGATGCTTGACATTTTCTCTATGTCAGAGGTCAGAACTTGATAGCCAGCCTGCCAGATCTGCCCCATAGATGTGCTTGGCTGGCAGACACCAGGCTTTAAAATGTTTTAAAATTTGTAGCCAGCATTAAAAAGACAAGAGATTTCACATAAGATCTGAATTTCTGGCTTCTCTTGAAGAAATGGGAGATCTTCTTACACCACAAGTGCATTCCCATATGGCAAGGACTGCTGATGCTGAGTTGTGGCAGGCCTTTGGAGGCACCCTCTCTAGAGAGATGAGTCTTGGCAGTTTTTTACGGCCCCCATGGCCTGTCTTCCCCCTTTTGCACCTGCCTGGCCTCTGGAGCCACTTGAGTTTTTGGCCCAAACTCTACGAATTGTGTTTCCTTTTTTTTTTTTTTTTTTTTTTTTCCTTTTTCCATCTCTCAGTAACTGAGAAGCATTTGCCCCAGTCATCTTGGCGAGACATCTTCAAGTAACCACTGACTCATTCTTCTCCTTCCACCCCAACCTCCAAGCTAGTCCCGCCCAGACAGAGTTCTTCAACATGCGTCTCAGCTTGGTTTATTCCTTTCCAGGCCCACTCAGTGACAACCATCCACTCCTCAATTATTAAAGTAACTCCTAGTGGGATTTGTTGAGTCCAGTCTCCTCCACTTCCTCTATCCAAAGGATTGCTATAGTTATATGCTTGCCTGCCTGCCTTGCTGAAAACCTTTCAATAGCTCCCTGAGTCCTACTTCCAGGGCAGCAATTTCCAAGCATTTTGTAAACTGCTTGGAGACTATCTGGTGGAGAATTTACTATAATGACTTGTTCCTCCCTTTATTTATAGAGAAGCAGCTCCATATGTGACTATAGTGATCACTAACATTTCCTTAGCAGTTTACTTCAGCAAGGACTTTTGCATTTATTATTTCATCTGACTTATGGTGGATTTCATCATGTTGTCAGCAAAAGAGTGAGACTGTAGGAGCCCCTTTTCTGGGTGCAAATAATGGAGAAATTGCCAAGCCCTGTGAATTACCTTTTTAAATATTTAAAAACTTTATTTTGATGTTTCATTTTCAAGTAATTCCAGCTTATAAAAAATTTTCAAAAAAATAGTCAAGGACTTCCCATATACTCTTCACCCAAATTCCCCCAATATTAATATCTTATATAATGTGAGTATAATTATCAAAATTAGAAATTTTATATTCATACAGTATTAATCAGTAGACTTTATTCAAATCAGAATTAATTTTTTAATTACATGTAACTTTATTAAATAAGGTCTTTCTCATAATGAAGGCTATCAGTTAAGTATGCACACAATAATTTACAAGTAATTCTCAAAACACTTCACAGTATAACTTTAGCTATGTATGGAATCCCCATAATCACCATCAAACCCAGCAGATGTAGTCTGTTGAAAAACAGGCTGTCTAGGTGAACCAGTGAGGCCAGTTAATGACCTTAACATAGCCCTGAGATTCTTCTATGCTTTACTTAGAATTTCCCCAAATGCCTCTGGCTTCATAGGATTTTCAACCTGGAATGGCCTGATGGACCTTTTGATCCTGCTTCTTGTTAAGTTAGGTTCAAGTTTGTAAGCGTTCAAGGTGGAGGTAATACTGAGTACCTAGCAAGGTGTTCATTATTCCTGTGCTGATTAAACAAACCTTATTTGAAATGTACACGTGATGTACATTTCAAGGTTGTCTTGATGATAATTATCTACACCAAATGGTGGGATGAATTCATGATTTATCAAGCAAGATAATGAAGTCACATGGTGACAACCTGATTCGGGGAGCTGGAAATCTGTCCCCCTCTCCATTTGTTTCCTGCCCCCTCTTAATGTTGAGTATGTCCTGTGATAGATGCCAAAGTTGAATCTAGTGCTTGTTTTAGGTGTTTTTTCTTCCCCTAATTTTTCTTTCTTCCTATATGTATTTCTTCCTCTTCCCATTTGTTTTTCTTTCTCCTTGCTTATTCTAAGCAGACTCTTTTCTGCACCTATTGAAGAAATCTGATTTGGTTTCCAAATCTGATTTCTATTTGGCTATTACCTAAGAAGCAAGTTTGTATGGAGATAGTGTAGGAATGTTAATGGAAAGACTAACTGAGAAGCTATTTGGTAATAATATAAATTATGCCTTTAGCAGTGTGTCATGGTGCAATTTACTAGAAAAGCTGTTTGCTCACATGGAGAGACCTCAGAATTCTGTTGCTGCTTATGATCCCTCTTATCTGCACTTGTTTAGGACTGGTGCCTATCAACATGTGCTATCTGTTTCCTTCATCACCAAGGATGGCATCAACCTTCTCTCCTGTAAATAAATACTGTAGAAAAGCAAGATAACTGACTAGAGATGCCTGGCATTCATCCCCCTGACAAGAAAGGATCAAGGCAACACATAAACAGCTAGGATTTTACTGGAGTGTTAAAAGGAGAGTGCTGGAGTGAGGTGGGAAAGTGGAAATGGACCTGTGGTGATTGGAAGTCCAGGAAGGCAGCATGGAGGCAATAAGCCTTTGCATCCCCATCTCTTTTGCTCAAATCAGATCAACTGAGAGACAGGAGGGACTTCCTATTGCAAGGAAAAAGGAAACAGATGATCCCTATCAGCCCCTATTACCATTGCAAACACCTACTTTTTTTTTTTTAAACAGTCTTGCCCTGTCACCCAAGCTGGAGTGCAGTGGTGTGATGTCAGCTCATTGCAACCTTTGCCTCCCTGGCTCAAGCCAGGACTATAGATGTGCACCACCATGCCTGACTAATGTTTTGTACAGATGGGGTTTTGCCATCTTGCCAAAGGCTGGTCTCAAACTCCTGGACTCAGGCAATCGGCCTGCCTCAGCCTCCCACAGTGCTAGGATTATAGGAATGAGCCACCATGCCCAGCCTACAGTCATTACAATGGGAGAATTCTGCAGTTCTCACAAGTCCTGAGCCCAATTGGGAGAGCTGGTAGAAAGCTATGTGGCTCTGATTAAGAGCAAAGGGTGTGTACTCTTTGTTCCCACCCACCCTCTGTGAGCCAGGCTGCTGCAGCATAGTATGGTCTTGAGACCGGAGCTGCCTCTGGAGTGTGCCCTGCTCTGGTGGCCAGTAGCCACTGCACCTCCTTAGCACTGGGGCTCCATCTTCATTGTACCAATCCCACATGGGTAGCTAAATGCCACAACCCCAGCTGTATGGAGATTGGGCCAAGGATCAGCTGTGCCTCTGGTCCTGCATAGCAGGGAAACCAATTCCTGTCACCATACTTTTAGAAGGAGGAACAGTCTGCCAGTCCCACCCAGGGTAAAACCACCCTTGAGCTGGCCAAACTACTACATATCCACCCCTGAGGGGAGAGGCCCCTGAGCCTCCAAGCATCTGATATGTTCCCCAGCCAGTGAAGTGGCTACACATCCATGCTCAGGACCTGAGAAACAGCCCTACGTGTCCCCAGAACCTCTACCCTACCATACCCCAGCCTGCTCAATGGCCCTGTACTCCCTAAAAGGGCCTCAGAAATCATCCTGAAGGTCACTCCTGGTGAGCAGGCCCCCAGAACAGTCAAGTCACTAGAAGTCCATGTCTCAGACCTGAGAAACAGCCCTGTGGGCTGCCACAGGAAGACACATCCCAGACTGGACAAGCAGCCATGCATTTGCACACTAGACCTGAGAAACAACCCCATAGGCTGTCTCTAGTGGGCATGCCCCTGAGCCAGCTGAGCAGCTTTGCATCTGTGTCCCAAACCTGAGAAGTTTCCCATGGGCCACTCTTTGGCAACACACCCAAGGCCAGCTAAGCAGCTGTGTAGCTGTATCCTGGGCCTGAGAAACAGCCCCATGGATTGCCCCCTACAGACAGGCTGGCTAAGTAGCCCTGCATTTATATACCAGGACTGAGAAAGAGTCCCATAGACCATCCCTAGCAGGCACACCCTCAGACCAGCTAAGCAGCCTTGCACCCATGTTCTGGGCCTGAGAAACACCCCTTCTGGCTACCCCTGGTAGACATATTCCCAGCTCAGCCAAACAGCTGTATACCTGCATCTCAACACTGAAGAACACTCCTGCAGGCATACCCTCAAGCTGGCTGAGCAACCATGTGTCTATGCTTTCAGCCAGAGTAACAGCTCTGTGGCCCCAACCTCAGTGAGCCAGACCACAAATTGACAAACTCATCATGTGTACACATGCACCCCCAACCCAAGAAACATCCCAGCAAACCCACTCCTGACAAAACCACAGCAGTCACCACAAACTCTCTCAGCCTAGGCCACCGAGAAACTTGCAAATGCCACTAGTATGGATTACAGCTGAAGAAACTACACTGAGACCATACGACTGTGTCCACCCACAGTCAAGGTCAACATACCCCACCACACTGACACCCCAAGACCCATTCATACAAATAAGTCTTTCCCTGTGAAACAGTCTCCAAAAAAATAAAAGAGGTGACTTTTCCACCAGATTTATAGAAATTAATGTAGGAACATATAAACTATGAAAAAATAAGAAAACATTACTCCTAAAGGAAAGTAGTAATTGTTCAGTAACAGACTCCAATCATAAGGAAATATACAAAATGCCAGAGAAATAATTCAAAATAATAATCTTAAGGAAGCTCAGTGAAATACAAGAGCATACAAATAGTCAATTCAGCAAAATCATGAAAACAATTCATAATTTGAATTCATAATTGAAGACCCAAACAGGAATCCTAGAGCTGGAGAATTTCATGCAAGAATATCAACTGAGAAGCTATTCCATGCAAATGGAAACCAAAAGCAAGCAGGAGTAGCTATACTTAGACAAAAAAGACTTAAAGTTAAAAGCTGTAAAAAAAGACAAAGAAGGCCAGGCACTGGTGGCTCACACCTGTAATCACAGCACTTTGGGAGGCTGCGGTAGGTGGATCATAAGATCAGGAGTTTGAGACCAGCCTGGCCAATATTGCAAAACCCTGTCTCTACTAAAAATACAAAACCTAGCTGGGCATGGTGGTGCATGCCTGTAGTCCCAGCTACTTGGGAGGCTGAGGCAAAAGAATCACTTGAACCCAGGAGGCAGAGGTTGCAGTGAGCCAAGATTGTACCACTGCACTCCAGCCTGGGTGACAGAGTGAGACTCTGACTCAAAAAACAAAAACAAAAAGAGAAAAGATCATTATGCAATAATGAAGGAAATAAACAAATAAAACTGAGAGCTTCAACACTAGGCTAGACAAAGCAGAAGAAAAAATTTCTGAACTTGAAGTTATGTCTTTTGAAATAGTACAGCCAGGAAAGAAAGAAAAAGAGGAAGGAAAAAAAAAAAAGAAAAAGAAAAAAATGAAAAAAAGAGAAAGAAGGAAGGGAGGAAGAAAATAAAAAATAATGAAAAAGAGTGAAGGAAGCCTTTAGGATTTATGGAACACTATTAAGTAAGTAAATGTTAGTATTATGGGCATTCCAGGAGAACATAAAGGAGGAGGTGAGTAAAACATACTTAATGAAACTATAGCAGAAAACTTTCCAAGTCTTGGGACACAGATGATGGAGATTCAGACCCAGGAAGCTCAAAGAACTCCAAAGAGATTTGACTTAAACAAATCCTCTCTGAGGTGTGTTATAGTCAAATTTTTAAAATTCAAAGACAATTTTAAAAGGAGCAAGAGAAAAGTATCAAGTCACACATAAGGGAATCTCTGTTAGATTATTATAAATATTAGTGGATTTCTCAGCAAAAACATTATAGACCAGGAGAGGCTGCGATGATCTATTCTAAATACTGAAGGAAAAAACTGTCACTCAAATATATTGTACCCAGCAAAGCTATCCCTTACAAATGAAGGAAATATAAAATTTTCACAGACAAGCAAAAACTTAGGGAATTTGTCATCTCTAAACTGGTCTTACAAGAAATACTCAAGGGAGTCTTACATCTGGAAGTGAGAAGATGATAACCACATCATGAAATCATGCCAATGTTATGTTAAAAAAAAAACCCACTGTTAAAGCCAATACACTAAAGGCAATGAAAAATGAATCAGATCTTATTACTACACAAAACCACCCAACTACAAGAATAAACAATAAGAGAGAAAGCAAGGAAAAAAGGATATTTAAAAAATTTAAAAAACAATAAAATTACAAGAGTAAGTCCTCACCTGTCAATAATAACCTTAAATGTAAATAGCTTAAAGTCTCCATTTAAAAGATATAGATTGGTTAAATGCATTAAACAAGACCCAACTATATGCTGCCTACAAGAAACCTACTTCAGCTGTACAGATGCATATAACCTGAAAGTGAAGGTATGGAAGAAGATATTTCATGCAAATGGAAAACAAAAGCAAGCAGAAGTAGCTATACTTATATCAGAAAAAATAGACTCCAAGTTAAAAGCTGTAAAAAGAGACAAAGAAGGCCATATAATAATACAGGAATCTATTCAGCAAGACAATATAACAATTATAAATACACATGCACTCAACACTGCAGCACCTAGATATATAAAACAAATGTTATTGTAGCTAAAGGGCAAGATAGACCCCAATACAATAATAGTTTGGGACTTCAAAACTTACTCACAGCATTGCACAGATCATCTAGACATAAAAACAAAGAAACATCAGATTTAAACTGCACTATAGACCAGGTAGATCAAACAGGCATTTACAAAACATTTCACCAAACAGCTGCAGCATACACATTCTTTTTAGCAGCACATGGAACATTCTTCAGGTTTGGCCATATACTAAGACACAAAACAAATCTCAGAAAATATTTAAAAATTAAAATTACATCAAGTATCTTACTGGACTCCAATGGAATACCACTAGATACTATAAAAAGACGCATATTCAAAACTATAGAAATACATGGAAATTAGGCTACATGCTCCTAAAGAACCAATAGGGGAAAGAAGAAATTAAGAATGAAATTTAAAATTTTTTGAAAACAAATGAAAATTGAAATACAACATACCAAAACCTATGGAATGCAGCAAAAGCATGCTAAGAGAGAAATTTAGAGTACTAAACACCAGCATCAAAAAGGTAGAAAGAGTTCAAATAAACAACCTAACAATGCACCTCAAGGAACTAGAAAAGCAAGAACAAACCAAACCCAAAGTTAATAGAAGGGTAGAAATAATAAAAATCAGAACAAACAATTTAAATTGAGGCTAAAAGCAAAAAAAGGATCAATGAAACAAAAACCTGTTTTTTAAAAAGGATAAACAAAATTGACAAACCATTAGCCAGACTATGAAAAAAGACAGAAAACCCAAATAAAGAAAATCAGACATGAAAAAGATGTCGCAATGGATACCACAGAAATAAAAAGACTCATTAGAGACTCTATGAAGCGATATATGCTAAAAAATTAGAAAACCTAGAGAAAATGGATATGTTCCTGGGCACACACAGCCTACCAAGATTTAATAAAGAAGAAATAGAACATCTGAGCAGATTAGTAACACGTAATGAGATTGAATTAGTAATTAAAAAAACTCCCAGCAAGGAAAAGTCCAGAACAGGATCCCTTCACCACTGAATTCTACTGAACCTTTAAAGAAATACTAATGCCAGTTATCCTCAAGCAATTAAAAAAAAATTGAAGCAGAAGGAATTCTTCCTAACTCATTCTGTGGGTATAGCATGACCCTGATATCAAAACCAGACAAGGGCACAATTAAAAAAAAAAAAACTACAGGGCAATCTCTCTGATGAACATAGTCACACAAATCCTCAAAAACTAGTAGCAAAGCAAATCCAACAGCACATCCAAAAGATACTACACCATGATCAAGTGGGATTTATCTCAAGGATATAAGAACAGTTCAACACATACAAATAAATAAATGTCATACATCACATCAGTTAAGTGAAGGACAAAAACTATATGACCATCTCAATGTATTCAGAAAAACTTTTGATAAACTTCAACAGCCCTCCATGATAATTTACTCCTAGTAAATTAAGTATAGAAGAAATGTATCTCAACATAATAAAGGCCATATGTGACAAACCTACAGCTAACATCTTACCAAACAAAAGAAAGCAGAAAACTTTTCCCCTAAGAACTAGAACAAGACAAGGATGCCCATTTTCATCACTCATTCAAAATAGTACTGGAAGTCCTAGCTAGAGCAATTAGGCAAGAGAGAAATAAAGGGCATCCAAATTGGGAAGAAAGAAGTCAGACTGTCCCCACTTGCAGATGATGATTTTACGTATAGAATGTCCTAAAGGTACTATTGAAAAACTGAGAACTGATAAGTTCAGTAAAGTTACAGAGTACAAAATTAACATACAAAAATCAGTAGTGTTTCCATACACAAACAACAAGGTAGTTGAAAAAGAAATCAAGAAGGCAATCCCATTTTCAATAACTACAATTTAAAAAATCTGAAAATCAATTTAACCAAGAAGGCAAAAGACCTCTACAAGGAAAACTACAAAACACTGATGAAGGAAATTGAAGATAGTACAAATGGAAAAACATCTCATGCTCCCTGATTAGACAAATTAACATTATTAAATCTACATATTCAATGCAATCCCTATCAAAATAGCAATGACATTCTCTATAAAAATAGAAAAAAAACCTGACATTTTTAAAGAACCACAAAGACCCCAAACAGCCAAAGCAATTCTCAGCAAAAGAAACAAAGCTGGAGGTATCACACTATTATATCTCAATATATACTACAAGGCTGTAGTAGTACAGTTTTTTTTAACAGTATAACATCATGACACTGGAATAAAAACAGACACATAGACCAATGGAACAAAGTCAAAATCCCAGAAATTAACCTATATATTTATAGCCAACTAATTTTTGACAAAGGTGTCAAGCACACTTATAAGGAAAGAAAAGTCTCTTTAATAAATTATGCTGGGAAAACTGGATATCTACATGCAAAAGAATGAAACTAGATCCTCACCTAGTTTCATATATATAAATTAAATATAAAAATCTATTCAAACTGTATCAAAGACCTAAATGTATATAAAAATCAACTCAAACTGTATCAAAGACCTAACTATAAGGCCTGAAACAATAAAACTACATGAAGAAAACCTAGAGGAGTTGCTTCAGGACATTTGTCTGGGAAAATATTTTAATAAGATCTCAAAATCCCAGCCAACATAAGAAAAAAATAAATAAAATCACAGCAAACTAAACAGCTTCTGTACTGGAAATGAAACATTCAACAGAGTGAAAAGACAATCTGCAGAATGGAAGAAAATATTTACAAATTACTCATCTGACAGAGAATTAATATCCAGAATATACAAGGAACTCAAATATCTCAACAAAAAAAATCCCAATTAAAAAATGAGCAAATGATCTGAACAGACATTTCTCAAAAGAAGACATAGAAATGGCCATGCACCCACTCAGTCACCTCTATTTTAAAGGTGCTTGTATTAGTCCATTTCCACACTACTATAAAGAACTATCTGAGACTGAGTAATTTATGAAGAAAGTGGGTTAGTAGACTCATAATTCTGCAGGCTTAACAGGAAGCATAATTGGGAGGCCTCAGGAAACTTAACAATCATGGCAGAAGGTGAAGGGATAGCAAGTCATATCTTCCTTTTAAACCACCAGATCTCAAGAGAACTCACTATCATGAGAAGAGCATGGTGGAAATCTGACTGCATGATCCAATCACCTCCCATCAGTTCCCTCCTCTGACACATGGGGATTACAATTTGTCATGAGATTTGGGTGGGGACATAGAGCCAAACCATATCATTCTGCCCCTGGCCCCATCCAAATCTCATATCCTTCTCACATTGCAAAATCAATCATTTTCCAACAGTCCCCCGAAGTCTTAACTCATTCCAGCATTAACTCAAAAGTTCAAGTCTCAAAGTCATCTGAGACAAGGCAAGTCTCTTCTGCCTGTGAGCCTGTAAAATCAAAAGCAAGTTAGTTACTTCCAAGATACGATGGGCGTACAGGCACTGGGTAAATGTTCCAATTCCAAAAAGGAGAAATTTGGTCCAAACAAAGGGACCACAAGGCTCATGCACGTCTGAAACCTAGCAGGGCAGTCATTAATCTCATAGCCTCCAGATAGTCTACTTTGACCCTGTGTCACACATCCAGGCCACACTGACACAAGGGGTGGGCTCCAAAGGCCTTGGGCAGCTCCATCCCTGTGGCTTTGCTGGGTACAGGCTCCATAACTGCTCTCACATCCTGGCATTGAGTGCCTGTGGCTTTTCCAGGTGAACAGTGCAAGCTGTTCATGGATCTACCATTCTGGGGTCTGAAGGACAGTGGCCCTCTTTTCACAGCTCTACTAGGCAGTGCCTCAGTGGGAACTCTGTGTGGGGGTTCCTACCCCACATTTTCCCTCCACACTATCCTAGTAGAGGTTCTCCATGAGGGCTCCACATTTCCATACATCCTCTGAAATCTAGGTGGAAGTTTCTGAACCTCAATTCTTGCCTTCTGTGCACCTGCAGGCCCAACACCACGTGGAAGCCACCAAGGCTTGGGGCTTGCACCCTCTGAAGCAACGACCTGAGCTTTACCTTGGCCCCTTTTAGGCATAACTGGGGCTGGAGCAACTGGGACTAGGGTGCCATATCCCAAGGCTGCACAGAGCAGTGGAGCCCCATAGGCCTCCAGGCTTATGATGGGTAGGGCTGCTGTGAAGATCTCTGACATGCCCTGGAGACATTCCCCATTGTCTTGGCTATTAACTTTTGGTTTCTCCTTATTTCTGCAAATTTCTGCAATTGGCTTGAATTTATCCCAGAAAATAGGCTTTTATTTTCTACTACATGGTCAAGCTGCACATTTTCCAAACTTTTGTGCTCTGCTTCCCTTTTAAACATAAGTTCCGATTTCAGGCCATCTCTTTGTGAATGCATATGACTGTATTCTGTTAGGAGCAGCCAGGCAAAATCTTGAATTCTTTGTTGTTTAGAAATTTCTTCTGCCAGATGCCCTAAATAATCTTTCTCAAGTTCAAAGTTTCGCAGATCTCTATAGCAGGGGAAAATGCCACCAGTCTCTTTGCTAAAGCATAGCAAGAGTAACCTTTACTCCCAATAAATTCCTCATCTCCATCTGAGACCATCTTAGTCTGGACTTCATTGTCCATGTCACTATCAGCATTTTGGTCAAAACCAATTAACAATTCTCTAGGAATTTCCAAACTCTCCCACATATTCCTGTCTTCTTCTGAGTCCTCCAAACGGTTCCAACCTCTGCCTGTTACCCAGTTCCAAAGTTGCTTCTACATTTTCAAGTATTGTTATAGCAGAACCCCACTCTTCTGGTACCAATTTTCTGTATTAGTCCATTTTCACACTGCAATAAAGAACTACCTGAGACTGGGTAATTTATGAAAAAAAGAGGTTTAACTGACTCACAGTTCTACTGGCTTAACAGGAAGCATAACTGGGAGGCTTCAAGAAACTTACGATCATGGTAGAAGGTGAAGGGGAAACAAAGCACATCTTCCCATGGTGGAGCAGGAAAGAGAGAGTAAGTAGCAAAGTGCCACACATTTAAATCATTAGCTCCCATGAGAACTCACTTACTATCATGAAAACAGCATGGGGAAAATCTACCCCCATGATTTTATCACCTCCCAGCAGGTCCCACCCTTGAGACGTGAGGATTACAATTTGACATGAGATTGGGTGGGGACACAGTCTAATCATATCAGTGCTTATGTGGTATCTAGTGTTCAGATCAGTTGTTAGATGATGCTTTCCTATGAGAGAGGACTTATGCACCCCCTTAGTCCAGCCACCAATGGGGTCCTGAAAACAGTAAAGGATGTACTTGACCAGAGCAAAAGGTCTTCTAAAATGTTGTATATTCCAAGTTCCATTAGTGCATTTCCCTGGGCATCAATTTCCAGATTTAGGTTATGCTGCCGATTGTTGCTTCTAAGTTTCCAAATTAAGCAATCTTAGTGGACCGGAGCAGAGAGGTCCACAGTACCAATCCCTAATCAAACAGTACTGAATGAAGGAAAAGTTAACTTGATGGGAGAGAAGAAATGAGAATCAGAATCAGAATCAGTTTCCTATCCTGACCATCTGACTTCCCATTGTTCCACCATCTCTGTAATTATAAAAGCCAGTTTTCCTTCTAAAAGGGCTTCCAAGATCAAGCAGGTGCTATGATAAAAGTGGAGAAAGAGAAGGGCTTTAAATGACCTCACACCCAACCTAAAAGCTGAACAGATCTAGTCATTATTATACATAATTTCTTTCTCTCTGTCTCTCTCCTCCCCCTACATTGAATATTATAGTTCCCAGAGTTGCAAAGCTGCATTAGTTAGGGCAAACAAAACACTGGGAGACTGCTTTATATCCTCACTTCCCCGGCTGAGAATGTAATTCAGTTACTTTACCAACAATGACCAATCTGGGGGGTAGAAAGGGTGATGTAAAGGCAATAGCAAGAAAGAAAATGACTAGATGACAAATGAATCTCATTTTTTATAGTAACCATGCATTGATCAGTGCCCCTAACTGCTAACTCAAAATCTCAGACATTTATTTGAAAGACTAGATGCAGGACAGAGTAGAGTCCAAAACCTCTCCAGGTTTATAAGACTGGGAACTGATAAGAGTAAAAACTGTTTACTTGGAGATTAATACATACTTCTCTACACATCAAGGGCCATATCAGAAGTTTCAGGAGGAAATGTCCTTTGCTAGCATAAAATGCAAGACTGAGGAGAAGCTGAGAAGTTAAGACTAGAGATTAGATGAGACATCTGCATACGTTATTTGAAATAATTTGAGAAATAAGTTTTTTCTCACCAATATTGTACTTATACTCTAATTTCTTTGTAGTGAACAGTATTAAAAAATAAAGGTTTGGAAATCTTTTGTGTTCTATAGTGTTTAAAAACCCATAATGACATTTGGCCCATATGCACAGTTGTAGCATTAAATCGACCTTTAGTATTTCCAAAATGAACAAACCAGGCAGTACAAGACCCCCTTGTCCCACTCCACTGTGGTCACTAGACACTGCCAAACAGCAGCAGGACACTTCCTTCCTAGAGTCACATGCGGATGAGAGACTTCACAAGGCCACAGAAAGAGACAAGTGCCGTGAGTGGAATTATTATTATACCAATGTCTGAATTTTCACAGGGTCTAGCATTAGGCTTTAAGTCTGAATTTGAATCCATTTGGGTTGAGATTTGTGTCCAGTGGCCCAGAGGGAAGGATGCAGGGGGCTGTTCCTGTCAGCAGCAGCCCCCAGAAGCCTGACAGGGTGTGTCCCCAGGACCTCACAGTGGGTTCTGGGGTCTCTTTCAGCAGCCGGGTTTGGGATGATTTCTCTTGCCTTTTGTGCTGTATCTTTGGAGTTCCCACACTGGACGAGGTCTTTGGGTAGAAAAACCTTCATTTCTCAGAGAATACAGCAGACCCCAGGAAAGAGAATGAATTGCTTATTTGACTTATTTTTAATAATCTTGTTATGTTTTGTTGCTTCATTCTGCCCTGCTTCCCCTCTTGCTCTGTTCCGCACCCCTTTGGGCAGGTTGCCTCTTTCTGGCTTTGAAAAAGACAACCAGGGAAGGAGCAGAACTCTGAGCTCAGTCTGTCTCCTCCCAGGGTCTCTGAATGTTGGAGCCAGCGATTTTCTTAGGTGGGTGGGGATCTGTCCCCGCCCCGTTCATTGTGTTCCATAGTTTCCTGTCCACTGCCTGTAACCCTTTACCGATCTGCCAGGCGCCTCTTAACACAAAAGGGAGGAGATGGGGGAAGGGAGTACTGAGGAAAAACATCCCTATAAATAGCCTTCTTGAACAAAATTGTTTTCCCCAATACACAGTTGTTGTTAGGCCTTGATGCCTAGTAATCTGCCTCTGTACTCTCTTCCCCTCCCATCTGAGCCCTCCCCTACAGGCCTGGTTTTCCTACTCAGTCCTCTCTGTGAGATGGAGGTGCTGTAAAAGTTCTTGTAAACATTCAGGTCCCCAGAGGCTCCTCCCCGGCTCTGGGCACACAGACTGTGGGCTCAGGCCAACCTGGGCTCCATGCCTGACTCTGCCACTGATTTGCTCAGTGGTTGGACACATGACTTAACCCCTCTGAGCCACAGTTTCCTCATCTGTTAAATTGGAGTGATGATATCTACCTTGTAAGGCTGTTGGGAGGATTAAAGAAGATAATGAAAATGCCTAGTACCTTGCCTATACGAAGGTAGAAGCTTGATACATAAATGAGAGTGACTTTTATTGTCTTTTCACTGAGCGATTCTTCCATTTCCTCCATCATTATCCGATTTCTTTTTCTTTTTTTTGAGACATAGTCTTGCTCTGTTGTCCAGGCTGGAGTGCAGTGGCATGATGTTGGCTCACTGCAACCTCTGCTGCCTGGGTTCAAGCAATTCTCCTGCCTCACCCTCGTGAGTAGCTGGGACTACAGGTGCAGGCTGCCATGCCCAGCTAATTTTTGTATTTTAGTAGAGATGGGTTTTACCATGTTGATTTGGTCTCAATCTCCTGACCTCATGATCCACCCGCCTCAGCCTCCCAAAGTTCTGGGATTATAGGCACGAGCCACCGCGTCCAGCCCATTATCCAATTTTTTCATGTCTTTTTCCTATTTCCTTATCCTGGTCCCTTGTCCCATGTTAAACACGTTTATAAGACTTTAAGTTTAAACAGATGGAAAATCATTTCATGCTCATGATTAGGAAGAATCAATATTGTGAAAATGGTCATACTGCCCAAAGTAATTTATAACTTCAACACTATCCCCATCAAGCTACCTATTACCCTCTTCACAGAACTGAAAAAAACCACCTTAAACTTCATGTGGAACCAAAAGAGAGCCCTCATAGCCAAGTCAATTCTAAGCAAAAAGAACAAAGCAGGAGGCATCACGCTTCCTGACTTCAAACTATACTTACAAGGTTACAGTAATCAAAACAGCATGGTACTGGTACCAAACAGAGATATAGACCAATGGAACAGAACAGAGGCCTGGGAGGCAACACCACACAACTACAACCATCTGATCTTTGGCAAACCTCACAAAACAAGTGATGGGGAAAGGATTCCCTGTTTAATAAATGGTGTTGGGAAAACTGGCTAGCCATGTACAGAAAGCAGAAACTGGACCCCTTCCTGACAACTTACACTAAAATTAACTCCAGAAGGATTAAAGACTTAAACATAAGACCT